ATTCAATTATTTTTTGTGATCTGAGGGGCACTGCCACTTCGCCTGTCACCATTGGACAATATGTTTACAAGTTGCATGTGTAATTTGACCAGCACATTTCTTGGTGGCAGTGCTTCCCTGGACGAACTCTTTAAAATGGAACTCGACTGCTACTATAATATAAGCAATTTAGATCCGAAGAAATAGTTTTATTTCCAATGTATAACAATAGCGATAATCTGAGAACTCGACAACACGTAAAATACTTAATATGTCCAGCTTAAGCTGTTATATTTGAGTTTTTAACCCTATCAGGATCATTTAAATTTTAAATTGTTCTTTTAAAATTTTATTTTCAATACATTTTTTTTACGACACAGTAAATAGATTTAAATATAGGTACTAATTTGTAGTATACTTATTTATGTTCAACGTTATTATTAAATCATAAGCACTATTTGTCACGTCATGTTATTTTTTAAACTTCTGTGATATACTGTAATTGGCATTATATACTGGCCTTGTAAAATAGATTTTTAAGTTTGAATTTTGTGCTGTTGGAGTCGATGTCCTCAATAAAAAAATAAATATTTCTACTGCAGCTGTTGTACATTAAAAGGGCTATCGTTCTTCAATCTTGTGAATGAAAGTCGTTGACCGGACGGGCCGTCATCAGCAAGGGCTACGCAGGTGGTGCTTCCCCTTAACATATTGTGTGTAAAAAACGAGGTCAAGTTATTATCGAACTTCAGATTAAGTTATGCGTGTATAAACTTGTAACTCGTTGACCACGTGTTAGGTATACTGCGGGTCAAAATCGATTATATTCATATATGTAGATAATATTCGTGTACAAAAAAAGTTCGTGCAATATGAAAGTACTTATAAATGAAAAACATTTAAAAAACAATATCCAACTTGAGTATTGGCCATGTTGATCTACAATCTTTTGCTATGTTTCGGGCAACACAGCACGTCAACTAATGTAATTTTCATCATACTATTGTGCTATGTTTTTGCTGTCATCAGAAATGTAATTTAAAAACAATGGTCTTGAGTATTCAATAAATAACTTATAACTGAATCGAGGAGAGCTCGCTTCGCTCGCTCGCACGAGCGTGTCGCGGGAAAAGAATCACTTGTCAATATATCAAAATAGTGAAACATTAAATGGTGTAATGAACAAAAACCATAACGTGTTTTCGGACAAATGAAACAAAATCTATTCAACAAAAATCTAAAGGTTTTTGGAGAAACAAAATTCTGTAAATCATGTTTCTAGCTTGTGATAGGTAACCAAAAAATAATATCAACGCATTTTACTTTTGTCGACAGATAAAGCATTGTCGATCAGGAGCGCAGCAGTGGGCTCGTCCAAGTGCAATGGGATGCGTCGAGAGAGGCGACACGAACTCCAAGCATGGCTTGCCACCGCGATTGCGCTCTCGCTGGCACCATTGACAACGGCTGATGTCATCTTCCGGGTTCCTGAAGTCCTGGTACTTGATTTCAATAATAATAATAATAACTCAATAATAATAAGCTGTGTGACATGGCGCATACTCAAAGCTGGAGCTTTTAAAATGAATCTCACGGCGGAACAAACAGCAAGAATTTTCGATCGGTTTGTCCTTCCAGTATTAACATAATGGTGCCGAAACCCGGGTGCTAACAAAAGACATAATTCGTAAATTTATGCCAGAGGGCATTAGAGGAAATTGGTGAGAATTACACTCAAAGATCGCAAAACAAATATATGGCTCAGACGAGAAAGCAGCGTTGCCGATGGCACCAAACGCGTAACGAACTTTAGTGGCGGTGGGCGGGGACACGTTGCTCGAAAGCTGGTGTAAGGCGGTGGTCGAATGGCGACTTTCGGGAGAAAAACGCCCTTTTTTTATAACATGAAGTGACGGGACGAACAAGTCGTGCGCCTGATGGTATGCTACAAGCCTGTCCATAACAGTTGCAGTGCCACTCAGAGCTTTAAATCACAAAATCCTGAGGGGCACTGCCACTGCGTCCGTCACCCTGAGACGTAAGTTGACAAGTCCCATGTCACAGTCCCATGCCACCCTTCAAGACCGGAACACAGTAACGCTAACATTACTACTTGGCGGCAGGAATAGGTAAGGTGGCAGTACTACCCTGGACGAACTCTTTCACAAAACCGCAGTTGCTTGGAAGGATGACGTATAGAAAGTGGCGGGGTTGAATTGAATACTGGTGGCACAGAACTGAGAGAAGTGGCAGAAACTGAAGGAGGTATACACCGTTATGGTTGAGAACATCTGGAAAGAAGAAGTAGAAAGAAGAGAGCATAATTCACATACACACATACATCGCACACGAAACCAAAATACTGTCATAACTCAAAACCTCTCATCTGAAAAATTGTTATTTTGCAGATGTGGCCTTATTACATTAAGTTGGAATTGCGTGAAAACCGCGTAAATTTGTTTTTTCGAACAAACTAACGTTTCGAGCTCTTTAAAGTGGTACAGTTTAGTACAAGTTTTGAAATATGTAAACGTTACTGTCGCGTTTGTGTTATTATTAATTAAGATCTAAATAAAAATCTTAAAGCAAACGCGGTAGTTAAACTTTGAATGTTTACAAATTTACACTCAGGCCTCAGATCCCATGGCTACGTCTAACTAATTTAATTTCCAATCGCAAAAACCTGTTGACATTAAAATAATTGTAATATTTTTATAAAAAATAAAACCGAACTCAAATGTTTGTTGAATTACATCTAATTGCCAAGTTTATTGAACGAAAAGTGGACAAAATCCAATAATCCGAATTCATTCCCTAGTTTGCTACCCTTAGAAGTAGAACATTTCCTTCCCTTCCTTTGTAACAAAAAAGAATCATCGACATCAGTTCACAAACGTCAGAGCATACACACAAAAAATACAGTCGATTGAGAACTTCCTCCTTTTTTTGAAGTCTAAGACACGCACTTCTAGAATATATGACAAGACATAAGAAAGATAATTTTCTAGTGTAAGACATTTCTTTCTTCGAATTTGCGAATTGTCATCTACCATTCAACAGGTCCGTCATGCAGCGGTACCACGAGCCGTCGGCACCGGTCGCGCGAACACCGCCTCTTCAAACTCAACGGCGGCGGCAGCTGTCGCCAAACCGAATGACCACGATTCTTGGAATTCGGACGATGGACGGCTGGACCTCAAATATGAGGAATACTTCGTCGAGCATGAAATTTCTGCCGTTGATGCTCGGAAAGCGGCATTGCAGTTGAATTTGGATGATAGTGAGTATCTTTCAATTACCAGCAATGACGTTCATTCATCGCTTATCCAAAGGTGTAAGTAATTGTACAGTAAAGAATTTTCTAAAGAGAGGAATATGTACCCTTAGAATAATAACGTATAGAAACCTAGTCCGCACACGCTAAGGGAGGCAAATTGAAGCGCTTCCAATGGGCCTACACGAGCGGGCGGACCGTCAGTGCTCAAGGTCAACTTGCACCGCGAACAGATCAAGAATTTAACCTAAAAATGACGAAATGTGCGGTAAATGAGTGTAAAAATACGTCAGAGAAACATAAAATAGATACTAACATCACATTCCACAAGGAAGTAACGCGTTTCAACTTGTATTTTTATATAAATATTCACTAAAACCGAAAATTAACCTACTACTAAAACTAGCCTACATGAATTTGATTTTTGCCTCACTTGTGACAGTTCGTTTGATATGAAACTATCATTCTATGCGTTGTTATTCTAAGTATATACCTATTATAAAAAAAGTAAAAAAAAATGTTAATTAACATTAAAAGTAATATTTGACGTGTTAGGACAATTGCTAAATGAAAATGTTATTGTTTTTCCAGGCACATTAATAATAGTAGTGCACTTCTGATGATAATGTTTGAATGCGTGTCTATTACTGTATTATCGTTATTGCTTTTCTCCTCATTTTCGCGACCAAAATATGAAAAAGACGAAAAAACAAAAGAATACCAACACTCTTTAAATGTTACCGCTATTTTCTTTTTTTTATAGTTATCGGTAAGGGTAGGTATTTTTAATTCACGCAATTACGAACACTGGGTAGTTGGCTGTATGAGTTTTTCTTTTAGTCAATTGACAACAAAAAAAAATTGTTTCACTATAGTTTTAAGCCTCGTAAATGGCGAACTTTAAATTACAACCGGAATCCTTTTACAGGGTCCATAATTTGATCTCAATATATGTAAAACATCTGTAATGTACATTATGGAATGCAAATAAATAAATAAAGAATAAAGAAGCGTATATTTTCCCTTCAAACGAATTTGTGAGTTTTTTTATTACTGATCAATTTTATTCATTGTATTAATGTTACGTTTGTCACTATTTTTAACCGACTTCAAAAAAGGAGGAGGTTCTCAATTCGACTGTATGTTCTTTTTTTTGTATGTATGTTACGCGATAACTCCGGTATTTGTGAACCGATTTTCATGATTCTTTTTTTGTTGGAAAGGGGGTACTTCCATAGTGGTCCCATTTCATTTTGAAGAAAATCATCCACCTCGAAGGGTGGCTGCTCACACATGTGAAATTCATTTTTATAAATAGCGCCTAACTTTAATTTAGGAGCAATTACTTTAATGGTTGATTTTGCTATTTCTCCAATTCAAGGCGTTTTTCTCCCAATATACTTTGAGTAGTGAGAACCGATTTTTATTATCTCCAGTGTCAAGTCCTGTATAGTGGCGAACTAGGGGATATTTTAATAAAACTTAGCAAATAGACGTAATTCCACGTAATTTTGAGGTCGGTTTTTTTTAGTACTCTGTACTGAGATTATTTATAAAATAGTTTAGTTTGGTAGCAGTAGAGCTCCTTGTGAAAGAGTTTGTCCAAAGAAGTACTGCCACCTTACCTATTTCTGTCACCAAGCAGTAATGTCACACGGGATTTAACAACTTAATATGTCTCAGGATGATGGACACAGTTGTAGTGCCCTTAGATCTCTGAGTGGTATCGCAACTGCTATGAACAGGCGTGTAGCTTACCACCAGACGCACAACTTGTTTGTATATCGTCACTTAGTAACTTACTATTCATTTTCATGAATGTCCTGTGACTCTGTAAGAATGTTAATTTCTTTAAATTTCTCTCTCAAATACACTATGGGGTCCAAGCATTTTGCTAAATGAAGATTCTATTGATATCGGCTGCTGGCAGTACTTGTTTTGCAGTATCTCCTTAAATGAACTAAATAAAGCTCATATAGTCTGTTCCATTCCATTTTGAACAAAAAATAAACAAACCTGTTTGGTTAAAATTCTAAAGCAATCACTCAATAACGCACACACGCACACACTCAACATAGCCCCGCACTAGGGAAACCCTGTGTCGCGGGTGCCATGGACACACACATAGACAACCACAAATGACACCCAAACTCACGAGAGAAATAAATGTAGGCCATACAAATATTTCTCCCGGCCCGGGAATCGAACCCGGGGACCTCTGCGTGGCAGTCCGGTATGGTAACCGTTCGGCCACGGAGGCAGTTAAAAATGAATCAGTCAATGAATCGAATATGTAAAACTTTCACGTATATTTCGATGATTTCGACTTGATAATAATATATCATCTCTTTTTCCAACAATATTCTTTTGAATAGCATCGTAAAATCGTATTTGAAAAATGGTAGTCTAAAAGTGAGGTTATTATTCATCTATACTTCTATGACTTGCCTATGGTTGCATAGTGCTGTTCGAAAAAAAACATTCGGTTCAATCAATTAAAGTTTTGTAATCGATTATTAAATCGAACATTTCAATCGCAATCGAACGAGTATCTATTAAGGATTTGAAGGAGTATTTAAATTGAAATTTTAAATATGCTTATACAGGTTATGTAAGGAAAACCGCTAGTATGACTCAATTGAACAAATCGATTCATTCAATTAATTAATCGATTTGTAGTTGGCGTTACAATTGGCCATCACTAAACCGTCTATGGTCGGGTCAGTGACTTGTTTGATTACTTTTTGTTCAAAATGGATTGAAACGAAGTATAATTCGCCGAAGTACACTCCGTACGGCTGCCTATTCCACAATAATCATTCCCATAAATTAACTAATCAGTTATAGGGACGTGGAATCCTAAAATTAATGCGCGACAATTGAAGCAAACTGTTTGTTAATTGTGGCCAGTATGAAGACGTAAGACAATTGTCAAGTCTAATTATTTCTACGTGTAGGGAAGTCATTGCTAAAAATAAATTTTCAGAGTGATTCAAAGAAAAATGCTTCCTCAAACAAAATATAGAACTTACCAGTCCAATTGCGGAGCAGAGATTGAGAGCTCCTTGTGAAAGTGTTCTTACAGGGAAATACTTACATCTATTGCCGTCAGTAATGGGAGCATTACTGCGTTCCGGTTTAGAAGGTAGGTAAGGGTGCTGGTGAAATTACAGGCACATGGGACTGTCAACTTATGTCTCAGGGTGACGGGCACATTGGCAGTGCCCATAAGATCTTTGCATTTACAGCTCTGAGTGGCACTGCAACTGTTATGGATAGGCGTGTCGCTTATCATCAGACGCACGACTTGTTCGTCCCGTCACTTGGTATTATAAATAAAGACCACCCCAATTCGAGAGAAACTGAGAAAGAAAAAATATTTGTTTGGTAATCTTAGTTTACATGTCACAATCAAAAATTTCAAATTAAAAACAATTACATTTAAAAGTTATCAAAATGGTCTCCATTCAGTTTTTGATAACGAGATTGTGGAAAACGCCTTCTTACGCTGATTTTCAGTGGGAAATAATAAAGGTTCCGAAAAAGAAATGAAATTGCAGCGAATTATTTTTATTTTTATTATTTCACCTTTTTTTGTTCAATTAAAATAATTTGTAAAACGTATGTAGTGTAAACTGAAATGTTGTATGGAAAATTAAAAATAAGATATTTAATTAATAACTTTTGTAATCAATTAGCTGTAACCATACGTCATGTAACGGACACAAAAATTTAACAAACATTACCCGATTTATATCCAAAAAAATTTTCTAAAAATATTCAACAGTTATTTTGCTAAAATTTGCCAATTAATTTAGTTCCATTTTTACAAACACTTGTACGAAAGCAAGTAACTAACTACTTACACGTCACTAAAATCTAAGATCTCTATTATGAAAGAGACGCCTATGTATTTACATCGTAGGTGTCAACCTGACTCAGTGCTTTAGATTTTCCATGGCTAACGAACAAGGAACCTTGACAGTTATTCAGCGTTTTTAATCTCGTCCTAATTCGTGAATGGTTCTCTCAATTAACGCCGACTCGAGTAATTGTCGTTGCGTCACCATGAATAAATGGCAACTTTGAAGCCACCGATTGGATTCGGAAGATTCTGGATGGCCCCCGTTTGTCTCGAATTAAAGTTTCAATCTTCTTAAAGTGACGTCATCTAGTCGGACGTAAAGATTTTGTTTTTGTGTGTTATTGAAACAAAAAAGTAAATGATAAACACGTTTATCAGATAGCACAATTTAGTAGCAGTAGACCTCCTTCTGAAAGAGTTTGTTCAGGGAAGCACTGGCACCTTACCTATTTCTGCCGCCAAGCAGTAATATGAGCATTAGGTACTGTGTTCCAGTTTTGAAGGGTAAGCATGCTGGTGAAATTACAGGCACATGGGACTTATGAGCAAACCAATAGGTTGTGATCGAAATACTGCTCGACATCCTTGTTCCTTTGTATTTATTATTTGTTCAAGTTTATATTTATCTATAAGTTTATTATTTAACTGTCTCCGTGGCCAAACGGTTACTATGCTGGACTACCACATAGAAGTCCTACGATTCCCGTGCTGGGAGAAATATTTGTACGGCCTACATTTATTTCTCTCGCGAGTTTATATGTAATTTGTGGTTGCCTATGTGTATGTCCATGCCACCTGCGACACAGGGTTTCCCTAGTGCGGAGCTATGAGTGTGTGCGTTGTTATTTTTATTACTATTATGTTTAAGTTGTTTTTATAGGCTGTGTTCACTTATAATAAATTAATTGTGCAATTAGACAAGATATGTACCACATTTAATTTATTACTGCAACTTTAACTGAAAAATATATTTAAAAAAAAGTGAATATGAGCTTGAAATTAGGAAAAAACGTTTAAACTTTAGATTTTTTTTGTAAATGCTTCGACTCATCCGTAGAACAAAGATCTATGTGCAAGACTACTTCTTAGGATAGAGTACATTTCGATCGTTCTTCTTCATTGTGAATGTCAGATCAACCGTTCTTCGACATTATATTTCCGAAACGAAATAAGATATAAAAATTTTCAAAACACCATTACACGGGCCTTAGTTTGAATAACGAAATTATGTATTTATCTTCTTTTCGCTGGCTGTATAATCACATCAGACTTTGTTCTTCGGATGAGTCCTTCGTGCCGGATCAAAACGTGACAATGACAGACCACGTTTGCATTGACATAATTCTTATAAAATGACATCGTAATAAAATGCTGACAACTCGGCGTGAATGAGATGTCCAATTAAAAAGAGAATTAGTCAAAATTACCCCATCATCAGCGTGTGCATGCGCATACGTTGTTGTTCGTACAGTGAAATTACAGTAATACAAACTGCATTAACGTGAAGGTAGGATTAGAGATGGTAGTGGACATAAAAAGTAAAATTAATAACGTGTTTAACAAATTTTTGAAAGTTACACATCAAAAATATAGAACACAATAAAAAGTACAATAATTTTCATTTTATATTAATTTGAAGTTTATCTGCCTATATTTGTTTATGAGATTCGGAATGCTTCGGCAGGAGTCCGAAGCGTGGGAATCTTTGGAATATCCACCAAACTTACATCTAGTCCCCCGATGATGGAAAGGGGA